TACATAAATCTGTCTTGAGCTTGATTTTATGCTTATATACAGCAATAATCAAATAAACTTTAATTTTACACCTACCTAACTGCAGCAGTTGTAGCTCAATATATTATTATGCATGTGACACTCAAAAAATTATACGTTTTGTTGATGTTCACTTTTGGCTTATAATTTGTGTAACAACTAAATTACCTTGATGAATATTGTAGRATATTGTTTTRGTAATATTTAAAACGTAAAATTTCACTTAAATTACTATAAAATATTAATYATTTACACAACTTTGAATTTTTTTAGTATTATTATAATTTCAGTTGCATATTAATCGATGACATTTGAATGCATTTTTGCATGTATATGACGTTTCTGTATGTAATAATTTACGAGCACCGGTAACGTTCAAAATATTTATGATGAACCGCAGCGTTGACCATACAGACGCGGTTCTTGTTCCATAAAACATGGTAGAATGTCACTGTGGAAGTCACCCATGCGATTAATCTGTTGCGCCAACTATCGTGGAACTGAAAACTGTCCGTCAGCGACTAGCCTAACGGATATCTGAAATCGTGAAATTTATTACGGTACCACAATTTGTATATACAGACTACGATGGCACCGACGTTATTATTCGACACTTCTCTTGCGCCTAGTTGCGAGTATACRTCGCTCTTGTAACGATATTGAAATGATAGATAATCCATCCATTTGAGCTCAATCGTATTCGTAGGGACTATAGGGTTATGAATTTATGATTATGAAATATTTCATGATCATAAATTCATAACCCTATAGTCCCTACGAATACGAATGAAATGTTGAAAAATATAATATTTCATATATATATTTATATATTATTATATTCATAATATATTAATAAACAATATACAATTTTTTTTTTTATGAGCCCTCGGCAGCATAGGCCATTGGGTTTACATAAGTTTAGATTACGTTACATGTTAAATCRAGTTAGATATATAGGGGAACATAATTTTAAATTTTGGAATGGAGGTTTGCTGCTGTGACGAATTGTACGGTGTCGGGCGTCGGCTATGGTTATGGGATGATTGTGGAGTATTTCGGCAAGCGATTCAGGCAAATTGAGACTTGATCGGATGTTGTGGTATTTACGGCATTCGGTGAGTATGCATGACTATGCAAAAAATCCCTTTAAAATATTGAATAAATATTTTGATTGAGCGATAAATCACCGCGACAATAAAATAGATTCCTACGTAAAAATCGTCTGTAGGAAATTCATTGCGTCAGAATCTTCATCCCACGATATTATAATATAATATTCTATATTTTTTTTTTATTAATCTCAAAAGACCGCGGCGGCTCTGGCCATTGGTCTACATTGCATTACAATTTTACAATATTATTATTAACATTATAAATAAACATAAGTATTAACATTTATAAATATATATACATAAGCCATAGAGGTTATATTACATTGTATAAGTTGGTTATTCTATATTATAATCTAATATTTTTATGGATGATACATTACACCTACTTATGCCAGCAAATGACCATATTTAAGGCTTTTACCGGTTTATATTGTTAAATATTATAAGATATRCAAAATAGTACGGTTATTAAAATCTGAAATGATTTTCGGGGTTTGGGTTATTGTTGTAATTAATTATTATTATTATTATTATTTTTATAAAAATGTAAAACAAAACAATTTTTACGATAACGTGGTACCTAGACAAACGTCACAGGCAACAGGCTATCATAATAAGTAATAACGATGATCTATGAATTTTATTGTAAGAGATAATGGAGTTTTATTTGACTTATTGTTTTAAATATTGTCTGTATTTAAAACTTAATGCATGGTTACAATTTGAGATTGCTAGGAGGATTCGGCCCACAAAACAATTACACAGTCCCCAAAGATGTTTAAAACAAATAAAATCATTTTATCATCATGAAATAATTTTAAAAATATACTGTATAATTTATAAAACCAATTTTTAAAAATTGATAGAATTTTTTTGTTCGATATCGCTAAAATCTAATGAAGTTAATCATTAGGTACTTAATCAGAACTTGAACCCTCAGCTGCTGTGAACAATGCATATTGAGATTATCTGTCTTTCCTGGACGATTTGAAATGAATTATAGGATGCTCTCGTGGACCATACTAAAAGTAATTATTATTTTTATATTGTGACCGATTGTTCTATGTACTCGAGCTACCACATAATATTATGAAAAGAAAATGTTAAAATCAACGCCCAAATTGCGTAAGTGTCTTGAGAGTTGAGATGCATGTGTCATGTGTGTGTGAAAGTTGCGTGTTATAATGATTAATAAGCATAGACCTTATAGCGTATACTAATAGAAGAGTAATTCACGTTAATGTTGTGCTCAAATATCGCCAATATCGGAAACGCTTTTTGTTGATTGGGTTACTTAGTCTGTGACTATACGTCTATACATTAAAAAACATATACAATATTTGAAGTATATATAATTGCGTGCGTGGACCAGTCACTTGGTCACTAAATTGCAGCCTCTACATAACTGACCGCGACGCATAATGTTACGAATTTAGCCAGAGCCAGTCTATGAGTAGCTAAGTATAAACCTTAAGGTATTGAGGTGTATGATAATAATTAATAAGTGAAGAACGCGCACTTATGGTTATTAAGGCACACGCCTCCGCAACACCTAAGTAACGCTTACTCTTTGTGTTGCCTATGTAACTCCTTAAAAATAGACTGCAATACTTTAAATTAAAATTAAAATAGGTACTAATAATGAACTAGTATAATAATAATTATCAGTAGTGTCGAACTAAAGTAGGAACTTATTTTAAGTATTGACGTAATACTTGAGGTGAGTAACTTGAAAAATACATCAGCCAAATTAATTTTTATTCCCCTTGACTCTTGAGATTTGAGTTATCGAGACTCCAAAAAATCTAATTTTTACTTATTTTATATTTTTCAAATTCTAATTCTATGCATGAAAAAGAATTAAGTTTTATTATTTTTTTATTATAACAAATGCCTCGGCAGCTATGGGCCATTGTCTACAAAAAAATTACATAGTATTTATATAAACAATAKATAAGTTACATTTAATATGGTAGGTACATTATATTTATAATATATATTACATTTTTTTATGAAGTTCTGTATCCCTTAGGAATTTTAGAACGTTGGTTGTATCGATGTTGAGGTTTTCCGCAAGACGGTAAGTTAGATTGAATTTTTGACGTTGTATATAATTCGTACTTTCTGCAGTCGGTGAGGATGTGTTTAACTGTCATGGGATCGTTACATGTCGCCATGTCGGGCATATGGGTGGGTCTTCTTTCTTCATTAGGAAGGCGTGAGTTAATCGTTAATCTAGTATGGCCTATTCTGAGCCTATTGATAACTACTTCTTCTTTTCTGGTGAGTGTGTTGTTTGGCCAAGGGAGAATATGATTTTTAATTTCATTTAATTTGGTGTTGGATGTTTTCAATTCGTTTTGCCAGATATTGAGAATTATTTTTTTAATTATTTTAATTATTAAGTTTTATTTTATTTCTGTGTATAACTGATAGTTTATAATATAACAATACAAAACTCGTAAGTTGTGGGCGTGGGGATCGAACCTAATTCAATACTTGAAAATTGATGTTCGTTGTCGTTGTGTGATTTCATTGTTCCTAGCTTATGGCGCACGATATTTTAGTGTTTACGTAATAGCTAAATAGGTACTAGCTAGGGAAGGTATTGTTCAATATTGAAGGACATAATATATTGCACGTTTAATTTAAATATATACTCGAGCAGATTTGCTTGGAGAGATGATAAAATKAATTTACTAACATTAGGCCGTTTCTTAGATGTTTATACAGCTGAAAAAATAACCATATRCCTTAGGTATACATAGGCACTTAATTAATTATGGTTATACGTGTTGAGAATGCACTATATAGTTTAAATTCGCACTTTAGTTCTATTAAAATTGATTCATTGATAACAGATATAAATTGACTACACAGAAGAATATAGTAAGTATGCACAACGTGAATATCATGTATATCTATGAGTAAATTTGAAATACTTTCATTAATCTTTGAGTTGTATACTTTCGTTTGACAAAAAAAAAAGGGAATTATCCAAATCAAATGTATTTATATTATACGTATAATATAAAGGTGTATATCATATCGTATACACAATACGAATATGAACCGTTATTGTTTTRACTTCCACCGAAATTAATTCTGCGTGGAAAGCAAAATTGTGGAAAATGTCTCCATGTATATAATAACAATATTATTATTATAAAATTATTATAATTTTTATATTATTTACGAAAAGGTAAACATACATATTTAAAAAAGTATAAATGATTGCACTATATAATATATACATGCATATAATGATATAATTATAGCATTCAGTTTATTAGTTATAATTTGTACATATTATTTCCAACAACTGAATGAAATCGTTAAGCATTTAAAAAATCGTTTCAGTTTTTATAAAACAATAATGTTTATTGTAACGAAATAAAAAAAACAATAATTGAAATTTTTCAAGCTCTTTGATTTCATTTATGGATTTTAAAAATAAAAAATGATCGTCTTATAAATAAAAAAAAATTTTAATTTATCATATAATTTATACAAAATTATCTTTCTTCTTAATAATTCATAAATCTAATTATGGCTATAGTCAATATAATATCTACTTTTAAAAAGAATTAAAAACTTATGATTTCAATAGACAATGGACATATGACTAGGTATTTTCAATACATATATTACACAAATACAATTGATACTATTGTTAGTAAAATTATAAATTAAAAGTCTAAATTACAAATTAACTTTCATAAAGGTAACATTATTCATACATGTTTAATGTTTATATATTGTTTCATAGTATAGTTATAATATTTTTCAACATGTTTTTCGCTGAGCATAATAAATTATAGTAATTCTATGAATTATTATTTAGCTATATGCATATATATTTATCTTTGGTATGACAAATTTGAGATTTTTATTTTTATTACATGCTAGGCTTATATATATTATATTAATCATATATTACTTTACGAATAAAGAAAGGAATAGCACACGAATAACTTAATTTACAATTGGTCAAATAATTTCACTAAACGAACATTTAACTCTTATAATTCTTCATAACGTCTATAAACAAAAAATAAATTTTAAATTAGTAGAGCAAATAKATACATTTTTGAAGACGAATATTTTTAATTTATATAAAATAGTAACATATATTTTAGACTTTAAATAGTTTAAATCAGTAAGTATAATTAACTGAAAATATTTTTGTGAAATTATTGACCTTGATATCATATTATTTACCTATCTAATTTAATACTAAACTATARTAAAATCTTTATTATTATAGGTTTGAGAATTTAGAGTAAACATATGTATGTGGAAAAAAACTGTGTATACAATTTTGGTTCAACTTTAAAAAATCTTCAACAATTTTAGCGATTTTTGTATTTTTAATAATATTTTGGAGATCATGTTCCCTGTTATAAACAATGTTTGTGAATTATATATTGACTTACTCGTCTAAAATTGTCTATCTAGATACGCATCTGGTGTACCATATAATATTTGCAATGTTTGATATTCATAAATTATTACGAGTTAAGCTATTAAAAGATCCTCTAATAATCTAACGTTCAATGACCTATATTATAAATGTTGTTTCCCCGTCTAYCAGTCTATCACTTGCATTTTGCAAGACGTACCAAAATATTTTTCTTTGACTTTCATTATATGGGCTCTAGGTCAATAGATCAACGAGTTAATTGACTCAATTAAGTAATYAAAATACGTAACTGTTATCTGTGATCATTAAAAAATAAATAATATCTATAAAAAAATTATCCAAATATTAAAATATGCAGTACTTACAYTCGATAATACAGTTAACTCAGTACCTTACACAGATTATATTCTATTATTTATCGATCAAGAGTCMAATATACTGATCCAACAAAAGTCAAATTTGTTATGAAAATAATATWAAATATTGGAAAACAAGTGCATGTAAAGTGTCATATTATRTAAGTAAGTTATAGCTTATATAAATACCTAATACGTTTATATTGAACKATACAAAACTAATCTCACCGTTTATCAGTAGATTCTTCCAATTTGAAGAACGACAAAGTAGCCATAGTTAATGAGACCATCAATAATATTAGTTGGACATATATTCCAAAATAATTGCTATAGTAAAAACTTACAGCAGCTGCTATTGACTAAAATAYAATACAATATTACATATTAYATTGTTTAATTATAAATATTACAAATAATTATTAAATACAAAACAATACCTGCATGAAATTAAACAAGGCCGTGGGTGGAGCACTATTTTCAGAATACCAGAGTCCAATTAAAATATAAAGTTGAGTATTGAAGCAACTGTCACCAAAACCCAAAAGAAAACTGCAGAAAATTGCTAAGTTCTGACTAAAATTGTATATAACTATATGTAAGTAYTTACTATGTATGGGTGCATATTTCATGATAATAATGTATGTTTAAAAAAAATATATTTCTATATTACTTGGGTTCAATAAATGATTTGGCAGTTGTATCACCAAATGGTGAGTCATTCGGTAAATTTATAAATATCAAACCGTATGCAACGATATTTACGATAAAACCCAATAAAATTACTGCTGGACGATTTAATCCTTTCRAATTAGCGTTGTTGTYWGAAGTCTTTTGGCCGAAAATACTGAATATCAAACCTCCTACGAAAGTTTGAATGTAGGTATTTTAATTGTTCAAAGTAATAATTAAATGTTGTTAGTGTGTTGTAACCTAAAACTTCACCAACGCCGATCAATATTCCAGATAATCCAACAAGCTGTTTACTATTGGGACCCATTCTTTTAGTAAATCCAATACTTGAACTATAGACACCAGCATAGAATGACAAATGTAAACCTGCGCAATTATTCCAGAACAAATAAAAACACGATATTATTACATCTGAAAATAATTTTTATACCAACCAGTAAAAAAAAATGTTACATTTAATAAGCACATTTCTTTGCTTAAAAAAAGCGACACGATGTTTTTGATTTCTTGAATAGAACTTATTGTTTCTACTCGTTCGTTCACAGTTCCGTCTGGCCTCACAGGAGATAGTAAAAATAAGAATAACAGCGTACCAAATACACTAACAGATATGAGTACGGTATAGATATATTGTCTGGTTGATTCATCGAAATCATATTTATCACGAAGCGCATAAGACACGAATGTATTTCCTAAAATCATACTTAAAACATACACAACAATTATAAATAATATATGAATAATGAAATGTGAGCGTATCTAAGTATTTGATTTTAAAAATACGTAAAATTTACTAAAGCTAAAACCTTATACTCGACAGTGCCCAAAATATTCCCGTATTTCTAGATATTGTAGACGAATCAGAGTTTAGTGTTATGTACGTTCCTTGCCCTGTGTA